AGTAGTGAAGTTCGCAAGCCAAAGCCAAAGAAACCCTAAGACTAAAGAAGTGAAGCCCTAAACCAAACCCACAGAAACCCTGAGCCTACCAGCCGAACCCTAAAAAACCTAAAATAGCCAAGTTCGGATGCCAAACCAAAAGACACGGTAAAGACATGTATATAAAGACTAAAGACATGAAGCCCTAACAGCCCCGTCAAAAGAAACCCCGAAGAAGTGAAGCCCTAAGCCCACAAGCCAAAGAAACGCCAAAGAAGTGAAGCGCGAAGCCAAGCCTCAAGAAACACTAAAAAAACGGAGTGAGACCCGCAAGCCCCGCGAAACCCCGGCAAGACAAGCCCGGAGAAACCCCAAAGCTATGAAGCCCAAGCAAGACAAGCCCAAAGTAGGGAAGCCCTACACCATTTCAAAGCCAAAGAAGCCCTAAATAAGAAGTGAAGACCTAAGAGAAAAAACGAATACCCGGAACATCGCTCACCTACTATAGTTCCAGGGTTGAGTTCTAACTGCTTCAGCTCGAATTCGGGTTCGAGTTCGAATTGGAGTTCGAGGCCTTCCAGGGTTGAGTTCTAACTGTTCCAGTTCGAGTTCAAATTCCAGTTCGAATTCAAGTTTTAGTAGGGCACACTATGCAAAGAAACATGCCTCAAGAATTGTCCAAACATCTCAAGATTTGCACCCAAACCGCGACGGGGCAGGGGGGATTTGATCCAGTGGGGGCCCCCCCACCCCTGTGAAGAAGAATCCTTTGCTTACAGGGCCAAACTCAATGCACAATCCCAACTCCAGATTGTCATACACTTTTGCTCAAGCAAGGGGAACTCAGGTAGCTGAAGCACCTCTCATGAATTCCCTGCGAAACCTGAAAGGTTGCGCGTTCTGGTGCCCAAAGGTATGTGAATCCAATATGGAAAAAATGAAGTCAAACCATGCCTGATCAATCCTCAACCCTCATGATTGGCATGTGAGACCGCTCGACGTGTTTCTTATGAGAACGGGCTGCGCGTGCGTGAATGTCTTTTCAAGTCAGAAGGGGTCTTTGGAGCACCTTTGTTTATTAGCGTTCGGACAAGGCATTATCAACTCCTACGAGAGTAAGTAGCTAGGCCTCCAAAAAGAAAACTGTCCGCAAAAGCCTCTATTCTGGATTATAATGTTGTGTACGTTATTTGCGCTATCAATTCCACCGTTCACGCTCCGGTAAAGTTGTTTGTTGCTTTGCTCATCTGTTGACTCGTTCAACAGCTGACTCGCCCTGCCTTGGACTGCTCTCGTGCAAGCCCTCTGGCACTTCGTGTTTCTCTTTGACCTTCTCGACCCTCGCGAGAGCTTCGTTGGCCCGAGACATCACGGCCTTGGGACGGAGAAATCACCCACAGACTGGTTGACCAAGGGCGTGATCATGGTGCACACTGATCTGGACGTTGCTCTTTCAAACACGTGAAGTTCCTTGTTGTGCTTCAAAGCTTCACATCCACATACCCTCACCAAACACAGCTGGCAGCTCCCCCTTGACAGCTGACGCTGAGACACACTTTGACATTGGGTTTTCAGTTAACTCAATCCCCCGAGAAAAGGAATGGCTCAACGGCAAGGTGAAGCGTCCGATCACTTGAAGGTGTTTGAAAAAAGTGTTTCTCGTGATGCATGACTGCAGAAAATTAGTTACTGATTACTTAGCAGACCGAATTAACGCCGTGCATGGAAACCTGGTTTGGGGAACGTATCATGAAAACCACCATGAAAGCAAAAAAGAGAGTAGAACAGCTTGGACAACAGTTGATCGCAGGTACGTTTGCACCCAGGTGGGGGGTGTCTTCGTTGGCCGGAGACCCCCCACCT